ATATAAACGATCCGAACATAAGCTTAGGCTGAACTCGCTCGTGCTTAGCTCGTTTACACCCCTAAATATGAGCGCTCAAACAACCATAGGTGTGAGATTACGTTTTAGCATCTCAATATATGTCGTTTCACGAAGAAATTGATAAATATGCATTGATCGAACTATTTGGGGATATCTGATCATTGTAGAGTGTTCTAAATCCCTGTGGAGAAAGATCAGAGTTAGGAATTTGTGGAGAACGCTCGCCGCATTCAACATGTTTCATCGGAGGGATTCCAGAAGAGTGTGAGTGTGTGTAGAATTCTTTTGAGAGAGAACAAGTTTTTTTAAAAAGGAAATCTAATATTTAATTTTTATGTTACAATATATTGCAGATAATTTATAAATATAAAAATAAAATGAATATTAAAAATCTTAATTGCCATATACTTCGTCTAAATGAGACATTTGACCATAAAATATTTTCTAATTGAATTATTTTCACCCTATATAAATTAAAATTTGCGTGAATTATTTTTTCCAGATTTTAACTAAATAATATACAATTATTACGAAAATTAGCAATAAAAATTTGAATTTAGAATTTAAACTTCTAAACCGTTGTAAGAGATGTTACCGTTGAGAGAGATTCAAAAATTGCGCTTCTTCTACTTGTGCTATAAAAGTCAAGTGAAAATAGGTTGGGATTCAAAATTATACATTTCCTCTGTCTTTCTTCCTCGGCTGCTTCATCATCGATAACAATGGCTGGCGGAGGGCGGAAGAAGACCGAACTGAAGCTGATAGAAAGCAAACAGTCGCGGCTTGTGTGCTTCAGCAAACGCCGCTCGGGTCTATTCAAAAAGGCGAGAGAGCTTTCGATCCTGAGCGGGGCTCAAATTGGAGCGCTTGTCTTCTCCTATGCCGGTAAGGCCTTCGTCTCGGACGTCGCCGCCATGGATTCCCTCCTCGGCTTGGAGAAAAGATGTGAAATTTATGATGCGGTGGAGGTAAATGAGCCGCCTTTCTGGTGGGATGTACCTTTGCAGGGGATGGGGAGTGAGGAGCTTCTCCAACTTGAGAGAAGAATGTTGGAGTACGGTGAGAAGAAGATGTCAGGCTTCCAGCAGATGGATTGCTAGCCGAGAGAGCAGGTGGTTAGAGAATGAATCAGAAGAGCCACAATTAGAAACATACCAAGGCTAGTGTGATGGAGGTCTAAGTTCTCTGGCTTCCACCACAGGCAACAATATTCTCCTAAATCCATTGTTGTATATTCTGTTAGAGAGAAGAATTTGTCCTCTTCTCGTTTTAGCTCTGTTTTGGAAATGTATTGTCTACTCACATTCTCAGTTTTCTTAAACGAAGATTTCGTATATGTTTGATTTGATGTTCATATTATTTGATGAATTTTTATCAGCATTTTACCGTTAAGAGAGATTCAAAAATTGATACAAAATATTAGCATAAGACTTCTAACACTTCAATTTAAATTTTGAAATGTAAGGTTTGTATCTGCTCTGAAATTGAAGCTCATTATATGACTGTCTATCTCTACTAACCATTCATAAGCTAGAGTTATCCAATTGAAATTACGAGGTCTTCAAGAATTTTTTTTCAAGCAATTGATTGAAATAATTTTTTTCGTTCATTATCTTTTGCATAATAATGGAATAAAGAAACAAGAATGTGTACTTTAGATCACCCAGGAAAGAACTCTTGAAGTGATTTCAATGTATGAGAAAAAAACAATATGATTGATGATCTTAATATCTGATTCATGAGTGTAATTTCAACTTGACATTAAAAACTACATTTTAAAGCAACTCAACTAAGCTGTAGATCATTTTAATAATTTGAACTAATATATCTTCAAATCTTTTCCATAAAATAGATAGCTACAAATTTAGAATCATTCAAGTCCACAAGACAAATGCAAAAGTATTATAAAATTGATTAATATGATATTTTTCTGATCCTTTGTTTCTTTTGGCATAAAACGTTTAACTATGTTGATACGTCACCAATAAATTTTCATCAGCCAGAACGAATCTCAGTGTAATTTTTTAAACAGGAAATATTCAAACTTCGAGTAAGAGTCATCCGGAGCTCTGATTTCAGTAAACTTATAGTCAAACTAATCGGCTCGATGAGACGAACCTAATGATATGAAAGTCAGTCCAATTTGAATCAAATCAAACCCGGATAAAACCATTAAACCACTATTGAAGAATTTCCGAAGGCATTTGAAAGGTCAAAAGGATGTCGAATCTAGCGAGTTCATTGTCGAATCGAGCGTCTCGAACGAGCCCAAGATTGCTCAATTCCTACATTGCTAAGACACTCAAATGTCCATCAAACATCATCTGATCAAAGGAAGCTCTCAGGACCGTCCGATCAAAATGGTTTATATTCCTTCATTAATTGCACTCAAAACACTATAAATAAACCTCACCCCTCACATAAAGGGGAGGAGGCTTAAGAGAGAACTTGAGGCTTTGAGAATGAGCTCAAGTCCAAGATCATCCTCGCCATCATCGATCGTCGTCGACCACCACTGACCGTCAACAACGACCGCCGACAGACGCCGACCTGTTGGTTTGCGCCAACTTCCGGTAAAACACCGCCGACTTCCGTCAACCACTGTTGACTAGACGTCGTCAGACGACATTGTAATTTGAAAAGCTAGTAACTTTTTCCCGTTGTGGGACAAGGGGCATCTATAATCATCAATTTATAGTGGATTTTTACAACTGGGTCAGGCCTCGTTATTTTTCCCCTTCACGGGTTTTCCACGTAAAAACTTCTGGTGTTATCACAGCTTGATTCATTTTCATTTGAGAGTGTGTTGAATCCTCGCGCAACGCTAAGACGATAATCCATTACTCTATCGCTGTGAATTTTCTAGTACGCATCAGTTTGGCGCCTTCTGTGGGAAAGTTCAAATCCCACAACTAAAGTACTTACGCAGTCTACTACAAAGCCACCAGATACAATGTTCGTGACAATGGAGCATTCCGCTCCAACGCCCATCGTTCCAGGGAGCAGTCACGAAGCCAAGGGTGGCATGCTTCTTCATCTTCGAAGACGCTATCCCACCAATGAATGTGTTTCGGGTCCTTCAATAGAAGATCAAATGCGTAGAATGGGGGAGTCTTAACTAGAGATCCTACAGCTCCTACGCAGGGCTCAATAGTCGATGCCTACACCATTGGATGAAATTCATTTACTGTTAACTTCATGACGTACGAGAAACATACCGCTCGGAGGAACTCATGCCAACCCGCCTCCTCAAGAAGGAACACATCCCCTGTCAGGTCATGATGCGGAACTCCTAGATACAGCAAGTTCCGCTCATCTATCTCGTGCAGCTCACCCGACATCGCCACATTTTCCTGTCATTCCAGATAATGTCATTCGCAATAAACTACGAAGCCTCGTCCTGCAAGAGTCCCCCTTAGAGAAAAAGGATCGCTTCTACGCTTACCGTAACATCTATGATTCTTCTCCCTTAGCGGATGCAGTCCTCCAACACCCCATCCCAACAGGCTTTAAGCTTTTGAGCATCGATACATATGAAGGGACAACCGACCCTTAAGAGGATATTGATCATTATCGAACTATCATGCACATTCAGTGTGCCTCTGATGCGCTTTTGTGTCAAGTGTTTCCGGCTACTCTTAAAGGACAAGCTCGAACTTGGTTCTACTCTCTGTCGGGGGACACTATAAACACCTTTAACAAGCTTGCAAAACTGTTTGCGGAGCAGTTCATCGCAAATCAAAGGATCATCAAGGATTCATCCCATCTCTCGGAAATTCGTCAAAGTGAAGGAGAGTCACTCAAAGACTACTTCCGCAGGTTTTCTACTGAAGCCCGACAGATCCCGGAAGTAGATCCAGAGTTACTAAGAGGAGTCTTCTGTTGGGGGCTCCGCCTAGGACCTTTCCACTCGTCGTTGATGAGGGAGACGGTTCATTCTTATGCTGACCTTGTTCACCGTGTTGAGGCACAAATCTCTGCAGATGAGGCCATCATTGCTCACAAGGAACAATTTGAGCGATCGGGGGGCAAGCGCAAGAATAATGCTGGGGATACCAATCAAATCTCACAATGAAAAAAAGTTTAGGGCACAAGGGAATCGTGAGCAACGATCAGAAAAGAATACACGCCACTCAACACGGCACGTGTTAACATCTTAATGGCAATCAATGATGAAGAGATTGTCAAGTGACCAAAGCCGTTAGAAATTCAGATGGTGGAGACCAGTCTCAATATTGTCATTTCCACTTTGTAAAAGGACATTCAACAGAAAAATGTTTTCAATTAAAGGAAGAAATTGAACGTCTAATACGCCAAGGTCACCTAGGTCGCTACTTACAAGAACAATGTGAGGGGAACCAAAAGAGAACTGTTGGAGTTATCGAATTAGAAGTATAACTCCAACTCATATTATTTGAGTAAAAGACTGGCTTATAGACTCTTAATTTTATTTTAGCAAAATTTTTATGTTGCTTTAAAATATCATTTCAATGAAATTTTCTTATTTTCTCACGAAAGATTTTTGTGTAGAAAGCCCCCTTGAGGATGAGAAGCTACCATACCCCTAAAAGTCGAGCCCAAGAGGCAAGACTCAATGAGAAGCTACCATACCCCTAAAAGTCGAGCCCAAGAGGCAAGACTCAACGGGAAGATATGGTACTCCTAAAAATCAAGCCCAAGAGGAAAGACTCAATGAGAAGCTACCATGCCTGCAAGCCTTGATGGGAAGCTAGTTGTGGACAGGGTCCTCACTAGAAAGACTCCATGAGAGCAAGTGGTTGACAAAGTCTCCACTCAAAGACCTCAGAAGGCTACAAGCCTCAGAAGGCACAGGTACACTCACTCAAAGACCTCAAAAAGCTACAAGCCTCAGAAGACACAGGTACATCAAAGACCTCAGAAGGCTATAAGCCTCAGTAGACACAAGTGCATAAAAATTCCTCAGAAGGCTATGAGCCTCAGAAGAACTTTGCACAATTAAGAAACCACAACAACCATGGAAGCAACAAAAAAATACATTGTTATCATCTACAATTGTCACATCAGATGATTAAAAAGGCTACAAATACCAACATATACATGAACAAGGGCTATAACAAATCAGTTCATTTTCAATTAGAGTTGGCATCTTCTTCCTAAAATTCTAGTATTTATGATGATCATTAAGGGGTCTCCAGATATCGCCACCACATAAGCATGAAAATTCCCCCTCATGGAGAGGCGAGAAAACTACATCATTGCTTAATCACTTTCAGAACTTGCCGGAGCAACACGAGAATCTCCTCCGGAATATGAGAAGCTCCACCATAATGTGTCGCGTGGTCGCGACGCCCCACCGCAAAGCGTCGTCACGACACCCTGCCGCGATGCTCCGCCTCAACGTTTCGGCGCAACTCTTAGCCACACCGTTTCGCCGTAATATTTTGCCGCAACATGTCACCGCAACTCTTCGCCGCAACACTTCACCGTAAGATTTAGCCACAACGTTTCGTCGCAACACTTCGCCGCAACTCTTCACTGCAACAAGAAAGAAGATCTCGTTGTTTGTCTGATACGCAGGACGGGGACGGCTTTCTTCTTTTGGGGAAATCCCAGATCACCTTCTAGGCAAAGACAGAGACTCCACCTTTTTTTTCCTCTCCTTTGTCTATTTATAGGCTGAAAAAATCCTCTCATATTAATAATAAAATTAATTAGAGTCATAAAAAAACAGTTAATTTATTAAAAAAAAAATTCCTTTCATATTCCTTCAGTTTTTTTACCTTTTAAATTATGTCTTTATAACTAAAATTAAAATACCAGTAAATTAATAAAAAACCTCTTCGTTTAATAAAAAACTCTTCATATTCTGTGATTTAAAAAAATATAAATACATTTAAATATCTGTTTTTATTTAAATCTTGCAATTTAGTGCATTAGCTGACCCACCATTCATTTTTTAATGTTTCTGCTCCCGCAGCATTGCATTCGGCCCAATGGCAACCCTTCATCTCCCGCAGCATTCGGCCCAATGAATCCCGCTTGGCCCTTCAGCTCCCGCAGCTCCTTCGAATTCGGTCCAGTTCAGCTCCCGCCGGTCCGGGCCGGATTCAGCTCACTCCGGGTATTAGACGGGTGGCCTCTTACCCGGTGTGGCCCACGGGTCAAGCTTTTTGACTTTCGGGTCTCGGCCCGGTTTACAGACCAAACAAAATATATGTATAAATATATATGTTTTGGGTGGGATTTAACCCCACGCCACCTGCAAACGACAAAAACCACATACCAACTGAGCTAGTCTCAATTTACTTACATGTAAAGGATAAACAACAATCTTATATTCACACAAATAATTATAAACTATTTATTCTTTATGTCTTACAAAAATATAAATAATAATAAATTATTTATTCATTTACTTCTTAATATTTTCGGACGAAAAAAAAATGTTCTCGCCCGAAAATAAGGGGGCAACCGATACGTCACCAACAAATTCTCATCAGCCAGCACGAATCTCGATGCAATTTTTAAACAAGAAACATTCAAACTTTGATTAAGAGTCATCCAGAGCTCGGATTTCAGCAAACTTATAGTCAAACTGATCGGCTAGATGAGACGGACCTAATGAAACTTATAGTCCAATCCGAGTCAAATCAAGCCCGAATCAAATCATTAAACCAGTATTGGAGGATTTCCGGAGGCATTTAAAAGATCAAACAGATGTCGAATCTAGCGAGTTCATCGTCGAATCGAGCGTCTCGACAAGACGAATCCAACGAGCCCAAGATTGTTCAATTTTGACATCGTTAAGACACTTAAATGTTCATCAAACGTCATCTGATCAAAGGAAGCTCTCCGGACCGTCCGATCAAAATATTTCATATTCCTGCATTAATTACACTCAAAACACTATAAATAGAGTCTCACCCCTCACATGAAGGGGCGGAGGCTTAAGAGAGAACTTAAGGCTTTGAGAATGAGCTCAAGTCCAAGATCATCATTGCCATCGTTGATCGCCGTCGACCACCACTGACTGTCGACAACCACCGATGACCTTCGTCGACCATCGCAAGTCTTCATTGACTTTCGTCAACTTCCGTTGACTTTCGTCAACCACCGCTGACTAAACGTCATCAACCGACATTGTAGCTTAGAAAGCTAGTAACCCTTTTCCCGTCTGTGGGACAATGGGCATTTGTAACCATCAAATTATAGTGGATTTTTGCAACTGGGTCAGACCCCGTGATATTTCCCCTTTACAGGTTTTCCACGTAAAAACTTCTGGTGTTATCACAGCTTGATTCATTTTCATATGAGTGTGTGTTGAATCCTCACGCAATGCTAATACGATAATCCATTATTCTACTGCCGCGAATCTTCTAGCACGCATCATATGTCATTCTTAATTGGGGGTTATATTTAATTTTTTTGTTTCTGAGAATATAGCAGTGACTTTGTGGTTGTTTAGCTGCCTCTTGGATTTGATTTAACTAGGCTTTACTAAATTCCTTAAATCTGAATTTATTAAATATAGTTAAGTTAAATCTAAATTTTACGTTTGGTATTGTTTCTCTTAAATCCAATTAAATCATTAACTAGTGTTTGGCATATGCTTTCAGGATTTAACATAGTCTAAGCATGCAATCCCCTTAAGTCCACCTTCGGTTCAGATTGAGTAAATCCAGGATTTGCGTTACGTGGAAGGAATTTTTGAGTTTTCGCAGACAGAAGGATTTAGCTGAGTTGAAAATGTATTCCATGGATTTACTTTAAATCCACATGTAAATCCAACCTCGAACTAACACTTATTACGGTCGCTTTCAAATTTTATATTAATTTCATTTTAATTAAAACCAAAGGCAATTAATCTCCTATATTTTTTTTACATCTAATCAAATAAATGTAAAATATTTCAAATACATTCTATCTCAACTACATTACATTCATTTCAAATAAATAAATAAATAAATAAATATAGGATATATATATATATATATATATTGAAAAGCTCAATAGCATCTTAATCACTAAAATTCCCAAAAGCATAACATCATTTTACAATTCAAATTTTAAAATTCTCAGCATATTTTCATGCAATCATAACATTATATTTTCTTCAAATCAGATTGTTCTAATTTCAAACTGTACAATTACTTGAAAGGTTTCATGCGTGGCTAAAACACACGAGTACTAAAAGTAGATAACATCAAATCACCAACTATATCAAATCTAACAATTTTCAGTTTGAAAAGCTGGATTTAAAACTGTCTCAAAACAGAAAACATGTAGTCGCAAGCTTGCAACAGACAAGATGATGTTAAAAGGATTCAACCAGAAAGGAGAAAGAGCTCTCAGATTAATAACACTGCCAATGAGGATCGGTTTATGCCATCAGTTGGAAGCAAGCAATATTTGCTCGAAAGGGTCTGATTTTCTTAAAATTTACTTCAATGCACAGCGAAAATGGTAACAGTTTCAAATTTGTTGTAAATGTTTGTGTAGTTTTACATCATATAAATGACTACATGATGCCAACCCTGAACAAAATTATAGAAATCCGCAACGCCTCTTAATCATGAAGCGTACCCAAGATGTCATCTTCACGGTACAGGTGGAACCTGAGCAATTCCCAACAACATCAGCAACAATCAAATGCTGCAATTTATAAATTCTGGGAGGCGTTTTATGTGAAAAAAAAAAATTGTAGAAATTCATTGCACAATTATGAAAGCATTTACCTATAGTTCTAATTTCTCTTCAGTTTCAACATATATAAAGGTCTACAGCATTTCAATAATATTACATATGAATGATTCACATAAAGAACACCTAAACGTTGATACTTGCATTTATAGAACACGTTCATATATGAAGGGTGCATATCACTTTGAAAAAAATCATAATTGTAGTGTTTTTTATGTTATATTAAGGATTTGAGGATTTGAAATGTAAAAATAAAAATTTAAATGTTAGATATGCAAATACAAAAGAATGGTGTTATGTCTATAGATGTCTCGTTACTTGTTTGACTCTAAATGCTTTCCTAATCACATTTAAATTTGAATTCTGCACTAATACAATGTGGTTTAGGGTAATTCATGCATGCAATTCAGAATGGACCACCAGATTTGCTTTTAAAATTGTTGGTCAATGTACTCCAATCGAAGATGGACCAACTTTCTTACTGGTACCGCTTACAATCTATGTTTATGCATTTTCATTATCATGCGCTCTCAAGATGGAGCTCTAAGAGGATGACACTTATAATTTTTCATGAAGTGATTGTCTTAAGGAAATATGTTTCATATATGTATGAAAAACTAAACTGGAATTTCGTAGTACCAAACTTATCACATTAAAAGCACGATTTTGTACCTATGAAGCACAGGCACTGAAATGACACGACACAATATAGGGACACTACATAATTGAAAAAAAATAAGACACGACACGTCATGAACATGTTTTTTATATTTAATTAATTATTAATATAAAAAATATTTTTCTTTCATTATTCCTTATTAAAAATGTCACCACACAAATTATGCAAAAATAAATTTAACTTCATAAATTTAATTTATAAAACCTCATTATATGAAAACTAGTTTTTTAAATTATATATAATATGTTTAAAAAAAATTCATTCAACTTATAATCTAATTTATCGACTCAAATTTAAAAAAAATTTTGTAATTACAAAGAGAGAATTACTAATGCTCGACCTAAACGAATATTGGATGCACCTTCGATGCATGATTTTGACGAATGTTAAAGGGAGATTTAACATGACGAGAGATGGAGCGGTTTCGACTATGAAGTATAATTAAGGATGTATATATATTTATAATTTTCTAATTCTCGCATCCCATTTCTTGAAATAGTATTAAGCTCACATCAGATGTGGTGTTGAGAAGTGTCCCGAACGTGTTCACGCTTGAAAAAAATATTCTAACATATATTTTGTAGTGCCGAAGAAGTTTCGGGGCACGTAGGAAAAGTATCGATGTCTGATACGTGCCTGACAAGGCTACGACACATTTTTAGAAGTGTCGGTGCTACATAATTTAGTACCATCTCCAATCCAGAATGAAATAGAATGAAAAAGTAGTGATAAACAACAATGCATCCATTCGGTCATGAAGAGATAGCAGAGAAGCCAAATATATATGAATGAAAAACTGCATTGGAATTTCACAGCGCCAACATTATCACATTAAAAGCACCATTTTTTTCCCTTCCCAATCCACAAGTAGGTCATGATAGAATGAAAACGTAGTCATAAACAACAATGCCAGGATTCAGTTGTGAAGAAATAACAGAGAAGCCAAACCTACATGAATGAAAAACTGCATTGGAATTTCATAGCACCAGCATAATCAAGTTAAAAGCCTCATTTTATATCATTTGCGATCCACAACGAGGTCATGATATGATTAAACAAGCAGTGATAAACCACAATTCCATGATTCATTCATTGAAGAGATAGCAGAGAAGCCAAACATATATGAATGAGAAACTGCATTGGAATTTCATAGCACCAACATTATCACAAAAAAGCATCAATTTGTACCCTTCCTGATCCACAACGAGGTCATGATAGAATGAAAAGGTAGTGATAAACAACAATGCCATGATTCAGTCGTGAAGAGATAGCAGAGAAGCCATTAAACAACAATCTAGTGGCCATTAATATGTTGGTACATGAACTGAGAACAATTTATTTACGGTGTAAGCAATTTTAGGTGTGTAAGCGATAGGTAATGGAGGCTGCAAAAAATGGTTTAATACTGAGAATAGTGCAAAAGGTTAGAAATTTTGCATCTACATGCGAGTAAGCAAATTTTGTGGATTGCATTGAGACAGATAAAAGCGTTGAAAGTGGGAGTCATCATATCCCGAAAATATATAGTGATAGTCCATGATCATTGAGGAAGATCGATCATAAAACATAATATAAAAACAAACAGTTTTTATATTATTAAGCAGGCAGCTTGTGTAGTAGCAAGAAAAAAAGATGTAAGGAAGATATATTTTATATCAGTTAATTAATACTTAATCTTAATGAATTTTTACAATTAAAACGTTTTATCATCAATATTAAGTCTGAATTTGACAAAATGATTTTGGTTCATTTTCTTTTGTTAAAAAATGTTTATTTTTCCCCCTATTCTAATATAAGTCATGTTTATATCATGTTTATTTTGAAGAAATTAAAGTGTGCAAGTAGTTTGCATTTCTTAAAGTTTTAACTTTCTTGTAGAAGTCACAATAATTTTTTGTTTGGGCAGGCTAATTTGAATTGTTTCAACAGTGTGATATAATCACATATTTTATTTGTCAATATAGCCTTGTTGTTAAAAATAATTCATATAAATGTACATTTCATGCAGGTCACTCCTATTTGAATTACAGGTGACAATAAATGACCCAATAAGACAATCTGTCATGAACATGGCCTTTAAAAAATTGAATTCATATTGACTTGATAAGCTTTCAGGTGAAAATTAGGTCTAAAATTCTTATATATTTATCTGTTGCTTTAGGTGTAAGTTGACACAATTCCAAATAGATATGAATTTAACCTAAACATGACCCCTTGGATTTGCGCTGACCGAAAAAAGCAAATTTGACCTGAATTTAACCCAAACGACCTAAATAATGCATTCCTAATCTAGAATGACTTCTATGCTTTACCCGCCAGCATTTAAATTTGCTATGTATGTCACATACTATACTTACATGAACCTAAACATGTTACTCAAATCTGAATGTTAAACATGTTACTCAAATCAGGTTCAAGTCAGATGAGTTGAAAGCGAGTCCATTTTGGTTGAAACTTTTTGAACCATGTAATAAATGGGTCAAAGTCATGCAGGTTCAAATCTGGTCAAATCTTGGTTAAACACTAATAAGAAGCATTAACCTGACCTGATATTCCTAATCTGAATCATATATAACAATAAAAAAAGTCTTATATGTAAGCATGCCAAACATATATTAAATGTTCGCACTCATTTGTTTATCTTAATGGTACAAATCACCAAACAAAATGTTATAAACACCCGCCTCATTTTGGTGCACCATTAACTTAATTTGTTCAATTTATGTTAGCTACAAAAAAGAACACGTAGTAGGCATCCAATGTAATTCTCACTAATGAATAATTGATTTAAGCATCAAGGAATCCATTGCATAATTTTGCAGTGATTTGTTCATATAAGATAAAAATTCAAACTTGTCAGTCAGCCACTACATTATGCACATCAGACCTTTTACTCAACGAAATGTCATTTCTTAGCTAGCTTTGGTTGCACTTAATTAAGCAAATATTAATATACACATATTATAATGATATTTTATCATGATACTACCTAAAAACAATATGAGTATATGAGTTAGGTGAATAAGTTACAGAACATGAAAAGGTTGTCGTTGCACTCTTCTTTAAATTTTTAACACAAAGATCCATAGTAATCAAACGATTTTCCGTCAGCCCCAACTGATAATGATAATAGCCATAAATCCTAATTAATTATTTTGAAAAGCCAAAGTAGTATATATTTGAGTCATAAACAATAATTATAAATTAGTAATCCCTTAAATTTTATAAAAAAAAATTAGATTTAATTGAGATGATTAAATCAAAATGATGAAGTGTTCAAAATAAATGATTAAGCACATATACAAAAAAAGATAATCTAATGGTGAAAGATTTAATCAAGTTGTACTTCAATAAATTACATCACACAAAATGAAATATATAAAACATTATAAAGTGCTAAAAAAATGAGCTATTAGTAAAATGAACACATGCACATTTATCCAATTTACAAATGCAATAAATTACATAGCGCTGCTTACCAAGCTAATAAGAGGGAGGCAGCCAGAGGAAGAAAAATAAAAGTGCAAGTGAGAGAAAAACAATAACAAAAGAGTGGAGTGTGATTAGTGGGTGCAAGTAGACAGGAAATGATGGTGAGAGATGGAGTGATCAAGCAATCAAATGCATCAATCCGAGTGGAGCGTGCAAAAATATCAATTCGAGTGGAGACACGTAAAGTAGCAGTGAGTGAAATGGATCAAATGCAAGCTATCAAACATGAGATTTATTGAGCTTGCGATATCAAGTACATGCAGCAACAAATGAGGGGGAATTAGTTATTCCGTTTAATGTTTTAATTCAAGCAAAGGAGGTAGGAATCTAGTGTGGCTTACAAAGGAAGAAGAGTTAAATCAACATAGAGGAAAAAACTCATTCACGTCAAGGTAAATTATAAACCTAAGCTTCCTAATCACAGATGAGCTTGAGATGGTATTCAACTACAAGTTTTCCTTTATTAAGATTCATCTTACAATCTCATGCAAATCTATCAGAATTAAGGTTTGGATTTTTTGTTAATTTTATAAAAATTATGATCATATCATGTGCTAAGATCATAATATATTGAGTGAGAAAATAATTCATAAATATATTATTTGAAAATTTTTCATAAAAGAGAATTAAAGTTGATGATATCTTAAATTGCTTTACTTTATACTTCATAATTTGATTTATTTAATAATTTTTAACTAGCATTTATGTCATAAGTAAAGATAAGATTAATTAGCTTGAGTTTAA